TTTTCTCTTTTCCCTCACCCTAGTTGTTCTTTCCTTTTGAGCAGTTTCTTTCCCTTTCACAATATCTATTGTACCTTTCAGATTTTATTTACTCTTTCAGGTTCTTACACTAGGGAAACAATACAATGTTTACATATGTGAGTCTAATTAATTCACTTATGGTATGGTTTCTAGTTGCATCCATTACCTACAAAAGCCTCTAGTTTATCTTTCTTTATAGCTGAGTAATACTCCATTGTATAAAAATACCAAATCTTTTTTATTCATTCCTCAGTTGATGGGTCTTTGGGTTGTTTCCAAGATTTAGCTATAACAGATTGCACTGCTATGAACATGAGTGCCCATATATCGCTGTGGTGTGATGTTTTCAGTTCTTCTGGAAAAATACCCAAAAGGGAAATGGCTGGGTTGAATGGGACCTCTAATCCTAGTTTACTGAGGACTGATTTCCACAGTGCTTGCCCTTCTCTACACTCCCACCAGCAGTGGAGAAGGGTTCCTTTTTCCTCACAGCCGCTCCAACATTTGTTATTTGCTGATTTCTTGATGATAGCCATTCTTTCTGGAGTGAGATGGAATCTCAGTGTTGTTTTAATTTACATTTCTTGAATGACTAATGAGGTTGACCATTTTTTCATGTATTTATTTGCCATTTGTATTTCTTTATCTGAGAAGTGTGTATTCATCTCAGATGTCATTTTTGTATTGGGTCTTTGAGTTTGGGCGACGTGATTTTTTTTAATTCTTCTAGATAGATGTCCTTTGTCTGAGGGACAGTTAGTTAAAATTTTTTCTTAATTTGTGGGTTTTCTTTTTGCTCTGTTGGTGATTTCTTTAGACGTACAAAAACTTTTCAATAACATGAGATCCCAGTTGTTGATTCTTGGCAGTATTTCCCAGGCAGTTTGGTTTTTGTTCATGAACGCTCTGTCTACCCCTATGTCTTCAAGATTTCTACCTCTATCCTCTTTCAGTAGATTTAGTGTTTCTGTTTTAATATTTAGATCTTTAATACATTTTGACTTTAGTTTAGTGCATGGTGATAGACATGGGTCTAGTTTTAGTCTTCAGCATGTGGACAGCCAGTTTTTCCAGCACCATTTGTGAAAGAGGCTAGCTTTCTTTCAGTGAACATATTTGGCCTCTTTGTCAAAATAAGGTGGCTGAGTGTGTTTGTGGTTGTGGCTGCATCTTCTAGTCTGTTCCATTGATCCTCGGGTCTTTTTTTTTTTTTTTTGCCAGTACCATGCTGATTTTTATCACAGTAGCTTTGTAGTGTAATTTCAAGTCAGGGACTGTGATGTCTCCTGCCTTGCCTTTGTTGTCCAGAATTGCTTTTGCTAATCTGGGTCTCTTCTGGTTCCAGATGAATTTTAGGAATGTTTTCTCTAGATCTGTGAGGTACACTAAATGGTATTTTAATCGGTATTGCATTGAATCTGTGTAACATTTTTGGGAGTGTGGCCATTTTCACATGTTGAATCTTCCTATTCATGAGCAAGGAATATCTTTCCATTTTCGGAAATCTTCTTTGATCACTTTTTTCAGAGTAGTGTAATTTTCACTGTATAGATCTTTTGCTTCTTTTGTTAGATTGATTCCTAAGTATTTCAATTTTTTAGATGCTATTGTGAAAGGTATTGTTTTCCTAATTTCTCTCTCAGTGTGTTTGTTGTTTGTGTATAGGAATGCTATTGATTTTTGAGAACTGACTTTGTATCCAGCTACACTACTGAGTTTGTTTATTAATTCTAGGAGTCTTTTGGTTGAGTTTTGGAGGTCTTCCATGTAGAGTATCATGTCATCTGCAAATAATGATAATTTCACTTCTTCCTTTCCTATCTTTATTCCTTTTATTTCTCTCTCTTATCTAATTGCTCTGGCTAATGTTTCCAGAGCTATTTTGAATAGGAGTGGTGACAGTGAACATCTTGTCACCTGGATGGTTTTGTCTTGTTCCTGATTTTAAAGTGAAAGCTTTCAGTTTTTTGTCCATTTAGCATGGTGTTGGCTATTTGTTTGTCATAGATGACTTTTATCAGAGTGAGGTTAAGACCATCTGTTCCAATTTTCTGTACCAGTACTATTTTTAACTTACTCATTTATTCAGTCATTCAGACCAGAGAAGGGATGTATATAAGCTCTCTCCAAACACTTGAAAAGAAAAAATTAGATACTTATATTCAGGCTATAATGTGGTAAATTCTAGATGGATGAATGATTTACAAAATGAGGACAAGGTGACCCCAGAAATATGATTATTTTTATCATTAACAGTCTTTGTGTGGCTGGGGATTTAGCTCAGTGGCACAGTGCCTGCCTGGCAAGCACAAGGTCGTGAGTTCGATTCCTGGTACCAGAAAAAAACCAAACCAAACCAAAAAAAAAGTCTTTGTAAACCTAGCGGAGGGGAGATCATTGTAGGCCTAGCAGAGAACCAAGAAGTTCTAAAAGAAAAAGGTAATGGACTTGACCATATGAAAATTTAAAATACCTGTATGAAAAAATGTCCTGAATAAAGTGAAAGGACAAGTGAAAATGGGGGTAATTTTATTACATGTACAGCAAATTAAAAGGCTTATATTTCCGATATACAAAAACTAAGGAAAAGTGGGAGGGGTGGAGCTATAGCTCAGTGGCACAAGCACCTGCCTGGCAAGTGCAAGGTTCTGAGTTTGATTCCTGGTACCCCCAAAAAAACCCAAAACAAAAAAACTTAATCACAAAAAATAAGGAAAGGAAATTACAAATTAGAAGAGAAATAGTAATAAGTGATAAACCTGATAATATTAAAAATATAAACTAAAATTCCAATTTTACCTAAATGCATATGGACATACCTATAAACCAATGTACTGTTTTTTTTCCCCAAACAAGATTTAACAAATTTAAACAATCCAATAATGTTCCATGTCTGGTTTGATGAGAATAAAAAGCAGTTCTTCCACTGGATGGTGAGCACTGACAAGGATGTTGCAGAGGAGTTCACACGTCAGGTAAGGAGTCCAACCCCCTTGTGTTTGTATTTCCCACAACGCTGAGAGTCTGCAAGTTGGGGAATAACGTGTTTGCTAACTGTGAGGCAGATCTCTCCTGCTGAAATGTTTGACTTGGTTTATACAGTGCATGTGGTTTTATAGTGGTGAGTCTGTCAAGAGTAAACTTGTTCAGAGGCCCAATGTCTAGTGTCACCCTCAGTTTCTGGGGTTCCATGGGGATGCAGAATATGGGATATGATGAGTCTTGGAGGGGAAAAGTACATCCCCTGCATGCTGAAATTGGGGGAGCACCTACCTGCCTCTGCTGGGGCTCAAGAAAACTCAGTAATTTTCAGGAAAGTAATGCATCATATTTGAGTGGTTTGATTAATACTGAGATACCACTGGATAACTTCACAAAGGGTGGGCCATGCTGAACACTCTCTCAGGAGCTAGGACAAGCATGCTCCTATCTTCAGGGCTATTTTTCTTCAATAAACAAAGTAATTAATGTTGGTGTTTTAGGTTACTATTGTCATGGTTGATACATTGTGTCAACTTGGGCAGTCTAGAGGTTTGGCTAAGTGACTCAGCAGGAAGCCAGGGTGCTTATTTTGTATACATCCTGAGCCTGTGGAAGAGGAGGGCATGGAGATTATGTGAGAGCTACATGCCCCTTAGGTGGGGGTAGCCTGTTTACAATGTAAGGGAGGGAAAGAGGCTGCTTGCTGCGATTCCTCCCGTTTGCTCTGGCTGTTTGCTGTTCGGCTGCCATTCCCCCCTTTGCTCTTGTTGCTTTGCTGTCTTCTGCCTCAGAGCCAGCCAAGTATGGACTGAAACCTCCACAAACTGTAAGCTAAATAAACCTTTCCTTCCTTCATTTTGGGCGTTGGGTATTTTGTCTCAGTAACGAGAGAAAAGTAACCAAGACAACTCTCTTAAGGATTAAAATTTTTAAAAATTCTATTTACTTGGGAGAGTAGTTTATTTTGTGTTACATCAAAGGGAAGGCAACAAATGGCTAAGTTTTTCAAAATATAAATACCATAACAACATCTCTCTCTCTCTTATCATCATCATCATCATCACCATTATCTACTCTTAGAAAAGATAACATTTTATATTTAAATGATAGGCTACCACAATCAAAAGAGCCTTTTCTAAATGTATGTTTGTTTCTGGATGTTAACTAAGAGATGCAAACAGCCAATAACACCACCATTTGCATGCACATACTTACGTCATTCATCAGCCATCGCTTGAACTCAAGAGGGTCAAACATTTGGTTGACCTCTGACTCACCTCAGAAGATCAAGCATTCTAAGAAAGAAAAGGGAAGAGGTTGTACTTAGATTACATTACTAAACCTGTGGTCAGTATCTAGAATTCCGTTAGCGCAAGCAAGCTTCAAAGCATCTCTATAATATATTTAATTCAACACTTAAAGGATGAAAGTCAAATAATATCTCAGAATGGGAGAAAATAATATTAGATGCATTATCTTCTCTACTGAAATTCAACTGGCTTGTCTGAACTTTTTAACTCCGTTCCAGTTATGCTCATCCTTTCTTGGTTGGCCCTGTCTTTGCTGTCCTTCCTCCTCACTCCCAATCAATATAACTTCTGGATTATCCCTCCATAGGTTATGTCATCCTGCTAAAGATAAAAGTCATACTAATTCTGCAGTGCTATCTATTCTACGGAGTTATCATAATTCTGTTCAGACTAGTGATTTCTCCTGCGCTTTTATATCTCCTTTCTAAGGTCTCTGCCAGCCCACAAGATACCTTGCTACAAGTAAATAAAGTAGGTGCAACTCAAAGACAAGAGTCCCATGCTGGGGTTCATGGTAGAGATTACATTTCACTTGCCGTTTGTCCCTCAGTTTGGGTTCCTTCTGCAGTTAACAACCTTTGTAATGGTATGTGGTTCCCTGCTTCTTCCTGCATATGCTCTAAAGCATACAACATACAAAGGGTTAGGAAGGAGAATGCGTGTGGCACTGGAATGAGTAATGTATAGCAATTAAACGCAGAGTCAAGCCAAGTCTAGCCACAATGGCAGCATGATTCTGTGTATTCACCCTGCTTCACAGGCACAGACTGATGGTCCCTGACTTAGGGTGGTTCCACTTAGGACGGTTCCACTTTATAGTGGTGCCTAGGTGGCATACATTCAGTAGACATTATACTTGGAATTTCAAATTTCAATCTTTGCCCAGGATAACAGTAAGTGCTATGATACTCTCAGGCAATGCTGGACAGTGGCCGTGAGCCACAGCTCTCAGCCACATGACTATTAAGAGGGGAAACAACTGACACTACAATACACTAAGTCTCGTATGCTGCTGAGTATGATTTCCTGTAGTTTAAATAGATTAACTGAGTATCCCCTTGGTGTATTTTCTACTTTCAGTAGGCTTATTAGGAAATAACCCCATTGTAAGCTGAGTATATGTATTTCCTCTAAAAATAGGATTCTTGTGCTCTGAATTTTGACAGAGCCCACATGTCTGAGAGCCAAGAACTCAAGTACCCTGAAGGAGGAGGGTGTTGGGCCACCTAAGCAGGATGGGCATGGAGACCATGACCTCTGTTTTGTGGGCATGAGCCCATCTCAGGTGAAATGACAGAAAGGGCCTAGACGCTGGGTTGAGAGTATCTTTGGAGAGAGTTGTCAGTGAGTCAGGGCGGAGTGGAGAGAGGGAAAGGATGTTTCTGCCATTTTGAGTCAAAAGGGGAATTTAAGACAAGTTCTTAGGCAAGTATGAAGGAATACTAGAAAGTCAGAGTAGGAGAAATCATTGCTAGCTTGCTGCTCTAGAGCCACGGAGTAGTTTTGTTGGGCATGAGTCCAGCTTCAGAGTTGGTGGGACAAGGGTGTTTTAACTCAGTCAAATAAGAAGTCCATGAAAGGAACCAGACAGGATCATTTTGTCGTGTGCTCTAAGAAAACTTCCTTGAGGGAAGGTGACCCAAACAGGTGAGGGCAAATTTTCAGAAGCCTTGAAAGAGGAGTCCAGTTGCTCTTTGAGATGTTCTCTCCTGTAGAAAGTACTTAAAGAATCTATAAAAATGCTTCAGAAGAGAGAGAACTATCATTCTGCAGCCTGGATGAACACTGAGGCAAAGTACAACTCCCCAATCAAATAAGACCCTTTTCCCTTTCTCTTCGCTCCCTACCAGGCTCCAAAAAAACAGACAAAATCCAAAAGGTCAGACTGGTCAATGGATGAAGTGATGCATACAAACAGGAACAACAAGCGCTTTTCCATTTCCTTTCCTTATAATTTCCTAGGGTGGACAGGGCAGAGCTGGAGGAAGGAGAAACTTAAAATTAAATAGATTTAGGAGTTTTAACAATACATGAGGTGATAAACATGACCAGCTGATTCTTCACTGTTGCTCTCTGAGAGTAACTAAGTCATGCAGTGCCCTGGAGTTTTTGACCAGGAACAGACAAGTACAAGTTTAGAAAACTCATTTCTACTGCTGATGTCTAATGGTTTATTGAAAAGAGCAGTTAATGCTTAATTTTTGTAATTTTTTTCTACCTATTCTGTATGCTTCTATCTGGTAATCTGAACAACTAATTTGAAGACAATAATATGCAATATAACAACCATTGGTGAATTCCTACCATTCTGTCTAGTGAAACTCTGTATTGTTTCTAATGTTTCTTTTGTTTTTATTTTTTTACTCTCTTTAATGGTTTGATCCATCTTGCATTCTTCCATCTTGTAATCTCAGCAACTTCGTTGAAGATAACCATATGTAATATAGCAGCCACTGTTAATTCCTATCATTTTGTTCTGAAACCCTGTGTCATTTTTATTGTTTGTTCTTTGTTTTGTTTTTATCTACATTGTTGGTATTTTGCTATTGTTCTTTTTTTATTATTTTCTTTAAAATAAGAAAAAAAGAAAAAAGAAAACTCATTTCATGGCACAGTAGTGGGAAGAAACAGCATTGCTTTCAGGTCCCACCTTTCCAAGTTTCTACCTACTCATGAGTCAGTTCTGCATGAACTGCAACGGGTCTGGCTTGCACAGAAGCATGTTTGCTCTGGATTGAGTCTTCTTGTGCCTTCTCAGGAACATCAGTCCTTTAGTTATCTGTGTCCTTTTATGTGCCATCAACCTCTCCTCCTCTACTGGATCTTTCTCACCAGCATGTAAAAATTACTCTAGCTCACTTATCTGGGAAAAATATCCCTTCTCTCCTTTAGCTACTGCTCTGTTTCCCATCTCCCTTCACTGAACAATTCCTTGAAAGAGTCATCTAGCTGCACAGGCTGACTACCTTTTTGCTACATATCTTCTTCTCTCATTCTCTCCTCCAACGCCCCACAGCAGGCTTTCCTCCTGCTGCTTCACCAAGCAGACCCTTACCAGCACCGACAGTTCTCTGCCAGCATCTTCTTCGAGTCCACAGATGTTCTTCTCTAGGCTTCTGTGCTCCACTTTTGGATAGACGCTTTGCATCTGCCTGGCCATTGCTCATTGACTTGCTGTTTTTCTCCACCAGACCCCTCTCCCTGGCCTCTTTTCATTTTGGTCAACATTCTCCTTCCTTGCAATTTTATGCAGTTTAGGGGCCTCTTGACAGTATAGAGGTAAAACATTTTTATTCCTGAAGACAGTTTTACTGGTCAGTGCTGGTCTAAAGTTAGAAAACAAAATGCCTCATCATTCAGTAATGTAGTCTGTAATCAGACTCAATAAAAATAACAAGAATAAAAGCAAGAGTCTCTGTGTACATTCATTAAAGAAAACATTGTCTGTCTTGCAAGTGACAGTAAACCCAACTTAATTATCATGAAGTAACAGGCTGGCTGGTACATGCTGAAAGGTTGAAAGGTCTGCAGGGGAGCTTCAGGGACAATTTAGCAGAGGGTTAGCCTATGTCCACAGGGTCCTTCTCTGCTGTCCACCTCCACTTTCAACTCTTCCTATAGACTCCTTATGTGTAAAATGTACAAAGGTATTAAAATGAATCATCTCATAAAATTATGGAGGCTAACAAAGGTCAAGATCTACAGGTTGAGTTACCAACCTGGTCACCCAGGCGAGCTGGTGGTATAGTTCTAGTCCAAGTCCAAAGACCTGAGATCAGGAGAACTGATGGTGTAGTTCTAGCCCAAAAGACCCAGGATAAGCCAATGGTTCAATTCAAGGAAAATCAAGCAGGAGAAATTTTTACCTGGGGAAGGGTCAACCTTTTTGTTCTACTCAGGCCTTCAAATGATGGATGAAGTTCATCCACATTAGGGAGAACAACATCCCTTATTAAGTTTACCAGTTTACATATTAATCTCATCTAAAACACTACCACAGAGACACTCAGAGTAATGTTTGACCAGACATCTTGTGGCCCAGTCAAATTGATATGTGAAATTGACCATCATAGCATTGCTGGACTTCATTGGCCCATGTTCTTTTTCATCCTCTGAAGCCCTAGTATAGGGAACTCCACCCATGGGCTGTGAAAAGATATAAGGTAATGTCTACTTAACAATATTGCAGGACTGTTGCCCAGAAAGATAGAGTGGAAACTAGGTGCAAAAACCAGACACCTACTACCAGCTGCTAATACAAACATTTGAAAGTTAATGAGAACAGAATTCTCTGAGAATAGAATTAAAGAAACACTGAGTGATTGCCCTGTGCCAGACCCTGTCCTAAACACTCTACATTTCCTCTGAGCTGGACTCCCTGAAAAATGCATTTGTATCTTTTTTTATTCTATAAATTTCTAATGAACAAAAAAAGCGACATTTTCTCTTCATTCATTACTCCCAATCCCTAATAAGAAAAACAAGAATTAGTATTTCTGAAGATATGACTTATTCTTGCCCCCATGGGAGGTAAAGCCTTTTTAAAATGTGACAATTCTCATCAATAGAGCAAATTTGCTGGAAGGTTGAAGGTCACTTTGAAGACAGTCCTAAGAACACTTGTTGGCTTAGTTACTTTCTTGTTGCTGGGATAAAATACTAGACACCCACAAGTTAAAGAGGAAAGTTTTATTTTAGCTCACAGTTTAAAGAAATTTTAGTTCCAAGAAAGGGCAGCATGGCAGAGAGGCATGGCAGAGGAGGAACATTTCATGACATGTCAGGCAGGACACAGCAGCCTTCCTTCTGCTTTCCCTTTTCAGTCTGTTCAGGTGAGGCTACAAGCCTATTGGTTGGTGCCACCCATACCTAGGATCAGTCTTTCCTCTTCAGTAAATCCATCATCCACAGCCAGAACTATGCTAAATCAATCAGTGGACTAATCCATTATCACACACCCATGATCCAGTCACTCCCAAAATCCT